GTAAAAGAATTTTATGAATGAGTTCTGTGGTAACATGGTGGAAGATGATAGCAAAATTATGTTTAAAAAGTTTTAATAAATATAAATTTATGTTTATAAAAGTAACATTTATTAATTTTTGATACCTTCTAAAATAAAGAAAGTAAAATCATATACAATTCAGTGGTTAGATGCATTGCTTTTATGGTAAGTAACAGGATATCTGACAAGAGTGGAGAATGATGAACTGTTTAACTTTCTTCCTCCTTTCTTCTAGAGTCCCTGTATTTATTTCGATTTTTTATTTGCCAATAACGGAGTAGAAAAAGGCACTTTAGTTTTTTGAAAGACAGCAATTGGTGTTCATTAGTGTACCTAAACCAAATGCAAAAAACAAACAAACAAAAAACCTGAAACAGCAATGATAGTGCTGCACGTTTAGATGTTAGGCTTAGAGTGACATCTTGTGGTAACACTAAGGAAAAATTTATCCAAATGAATAAAGTTTTAGGTTGATTACAGCATAAACACTTTCCAGAATTTGAACGTAAGGGAATTGGAATTCGATGATATTTTATGATTAATTCATGTCTCTTTATTTAGAAAAGCTAAATAAAATAATAATCACCAGTGTTCATTAATGTACCAAAACACTAAAATGGCAATATGCTAGAAGCTGCCTATTTAGAGAATTGGAATTCCATCATATTTTACAAATTAACTTAGAATATGTAAATCTCTTTTACTTAGAATATATAAAACGTTAAGATTTTTCTAGGTACTTTTATTAGGTTATTCTTCAGTTAGGCAATAAAGAAGCAAGATGAATCTTTTTTTTTTTTTTTGCGACGGAGTCTCGCTCTGTTGCCCAGGCTGGAGTGCAGTGGCATGATCTTAGCTCACTGCAACTCCTGCCTCCCAGGTTCAAGAGATTCTCCTGCCTCAGCCTTCTGAGTAGCTGGGATTACAGGTGTGCATCCTCACACCCGGCTAATTTTTGTATTTTTAGTAGAGATGGTGTTTTTATCATGTTGTTCAGGCTAGTCTTGAAGTCTTGACCTTGTGATCTGCCCACCTTGGCCTCCTAAAGTGCTGGAATTACAGGTATGAGCCACCGTGCCTGGCCTTGAATTATTTTTAAAAATTACTTTTGTGCTTCTAAATTGAGTTAAGTTTTAAAGATCTATGTTACCGCCATTATTATTTTTGAAGACTTCAGATAGTATTACGGGTATTTAAGTTTTAGATATGTAACACAAATGTTCTTTGTTTTTGTAACTTATTGAAAACTATATGTTTAGTCGTTAATTATAAAGTATGGAAGGAACTATAGATATACTTCACAGATTTCAACCCCTTCTAAAACCATATAAGCTTTGTTTATCTAACTTATTGCCTTATATTTCTCTACAGTGTGTGAGGGGGAATTTTTGGAAGAGGAGTTAGAGAGAAATTAGAGGAGAACAGGAAGTAAAATGATACTTTTTAAAAACTCTGCCTGTAGCAAAATCTTAGTTAAGGGATCATCTTATTTTATGGAGGCTGGTAAACTTTACATGTTAGATTTTGTGTTAGAATAGAGTACAGTTCATTTCCATAAATCTTAGCAAAGAACCTTGTGGATTTTTGGGATTACTAGCAATAGAAGTGATACAGCAGATGTATTATATATTGGGATTTATTATCTCTTTGTTGAAGCATTCACCCTTTCATTGTGTCTCATGGCATTTTCTTCATTACTAAAAAAGCATTTACTACATTGCCTTATAATAAATTGAATATGCTTCTGCCCCTTTTTATATCCCCATAAGGTGGACCTGTAATAATTATAAGTGACCTTTAATAACTTTTTTATTCGTTTGTCAACACTTCTTTTAAAAATATCAGTTATGTGTTGGACATTGTGCTATGCAATAGGGATACAACAGTAAGTTATAGAGGATAGTCATTACTCTTATGGACAAGTAGGGGAAAAGAGACATTAAACACACAATTAATTATTATTCAATTATAATCGTGGTAAGTTCTATGAAAGAGATATGTATAAGAGTTATAGTTTGAGTAAAAAACACCTGCATATTTTTTCTAACAGTAATTCTAATGTCATATTTTTATTTCAAAATAGCATCTCTGAAAATATCATGGTTATTTTGGTCTTAATTATTAATCATGATGTATAATTTTTGCCATTTGATTATAAGGAAGTGAAGTATTATTTAAATATTGGCTCTGAAGGCCCATACAGTTGTGTGAATTTGGAGCAACTTGGCTGTATTTATTAATATTTTATTTATATATATACGTTTTGTTAACCCACTTAAAGTTTAATGGTCTAATAACCTGGCTGTAATCTTCTAAAACAGAGGTTCTCAAGATGTGGTTCTTGGACCAGCAGTACTAGTTACCTGTGAACTTGGTTAGAATTGCAAATTCTTGCGTCTCACCCTACTGACTGAATAAGACACTCTGGAAGTAGGGCTCAGCAAATGGTATTTTACTAATCCTTCCACGTGATTCTGAGGCATTTTAAAATTTGAGAACCTATGTTCTAAATGGTTAGATATTTGACCATTCAAGGAAAATAATATATTAATAGTGTGTGAATATTATTACTAAACTTGGAAGAATATGACAGTCGCATTTTTTCCTTCTTGTGTTTTATAGGATCTGATTTAATCTTTAACAAGTATAATGAGCCACTGTTATTCTGGGACATTTCTTGAGTACTTTGTAATCCATAAATTCACAAATATCATTATGGTGTCCAATTTCCTTTTTAAAATACA